CAACAAACTCAAAACTTTGAAGAAGAAGAAGAACAAGATGCTTTAATTCTTGATTCACCTCCATTATTACCAGAAAATATTGAATTAAAATCATCACCACCATCATCATCATCTTCATTATCAATAATGGCCACTTTAGATGCCACTCTCAAACAATTAGCAAATCTAATTAGCAATCAAAATCAAGATCCAATTCCAATTCCAACATTTTATGGAAATGGTCAAGATGATCTAATCACTTGGATAGAAGAATTTGAACAAGCTACAAGAACTAATAATATGAGTAATAAAAGAAGAATTCGCATTATACCAATATATCTATGTGGTATTGCCAATCATTGGTACAAAAATCAAGTACAAGCAAATAATGCATGGCCTACATATCACAATGATATTGACAATCAAGAAACTTCTTTCAACTATGTTTTCTAAAAGAATTCTGTACACAAATCCAACTGTTACTATGACAACAACAATTAAATAATCGTATTCAAAACGCAAATGAGTCAGTCAGTTAATATACAACTGATATTTGCTTATTGCTCCACAAAATTGATCCAGACAATATCTATCTAACTCAATACAAAATTCGTGAATTTACAAAAGGTCTCAATCCACAATATGCCTTTTTCATTAATTTGCATCAATCTGAAACATTTGAAAAAGCTATTTCTATTGCTATTGAAACAGAAACTGGATTCAAAACCACTTATAATAATCCATTTACATTGGCAACCTCAACTATACTGTACAATTATAGATTACCAATACAACCAAACACATCAACAACAACCAATAACACTGACATTAATACAACTTTGTTAGAATTGACTAAACAAATTAAAAATTTGAATAACAATAATAATAATAGTAATAATCACAACAATTTTCAATGCAACAATAATAATAATAGAACCAGCTTCAATCGCAACTAAGGTTGCTTGCCAAAATCCCTTAGTAACTGTCTAAATTCTGTCAAAATTATAATAAACTATTAGTAAATAACACGTCGAAATTCTGACGAATTTTGAAACCCGTCGTAACTGAAATTATGTCGAAATTCTAATTAACAATTAGTGTGTAA